GTATAGGGTTTGAACTCAGGGCCTCACACTTGCTAGGCAGGTGCTCCACCACTTGAGCCATTCTGCTAGCTCTTTTTTTGTGTTGGGTATTTTTTTAGATAGGGTCTCTAAAACTATTTGCCAGGGACTGGCTTTGAACTCCTGCTCTCTGCCTCCAAAACAGCTAGGATTAGAGCTGTGAGCAACCAGTGCCAAGCCATTTTCACTTTTTTACTTGCATTTTTAGTGGAGAGAGCAGTGGGTTATGTCACGAGAACTCTTCGAGGATTCAAACTAGCAATACCTTTTTTTTTAATACCTTTCAATGGGTCTAGGGATTTCAAGTGTTCCTATTTCTCCAACTTGAAACTAAGGCAGATAGGACACACACAGAAAGATATTTGAAATCTATAGTAGGTGAATAAAACCTGAATTTTAGGAGGTGTCTGATTTAGGAATCTCCTAGCATTAATGGGTATTATCTATTTAGATATCTACAACAATTAGCTATCACGTGACATGTGGAGGAGGGATGTTATTATAATAAATTCTAAAGGGACATGCAAATTATTCAGATTTACTAATTTTTTTTTTGAAGTACTGGGGTTTGAGCTCAGGGCCTTACACTTGCTAGGCAGGTGCTCTACACTTGAGCCACTCTGCCAACCATAAAAGTGTTTTCTTTTACTGAATAATGCTCCCGGTCTCTGTTATGCCTCTCTCAGGCTTCTTGCTACCACACAGACTTCCTCTGAGAGAAACCAATGACTGCACTAGGACCAATAAGAAAGCATTTCTGACCTATTTTCCAACTTTTTTTTTTCTGCCAAGAAGCACATGGTGAATGAGCTTTTAATGACCATGAAATTAGTTAAGTGAAGAATACCAAGGAGAGAATTTGATGCAGAATTCAGTGGTCATCAGCTCACAATTATGTTATTTTAGGTTCAATTTAATATTTCATTGAGAAATGATCCACAAACAGAATCAGAATAATACTTTCAGTCTTTAAGAATTAACTATCAGCTGGCTGTAGTGGCAGAGCCCCTGACTAGCAAGTGTGAAGCCCTGAGTTCAAACCCCAGTACTGCCAAAAAAAAAATAAATAAAAATGACTACCAGTAAGACAACCACACTAACTTAATACAAAACAAAACCATTAAAATATATTAATGACATATGAGGTAACAAGTAATGTCAAAGGAATAGTTGAACACAAGCCCAATTAAAGAAATCTGGAAAGGCTTCAAGAGAGAGGTAACATCCAGTTAGTGTTCAAAGAGTGAATGCACATATTTTTTCCCTTTTATTACAATCAGTTAAATATACTTTTCTGATTATGAAGGTAGTACATGGTCACTGGGGGGAATTTTTTAAATTAAAAAATTTGTAAGGTAACAAAAAAAATCACCCTGCAATTGCAGTACCTAAAGGTAACCATTTCAAGTAATGAATACATTTCTTTCCTTGAAGTCCAAGAGAACCTTTGAGGGTCTAATCTAAAGGGGAAAAAATAAGGAATGGAACAGAACAAGTAGGTGTAATAAATACACTATGCTGAAAGAGAACTGGGTCATTGAACATGAAGGAGACAAAAATGACCCTGGGGGCATTGAAATATGTTGACAAATTCATTGGAAGAAATAACTACAACGGAGGAAGATATATTTTGTGGAAAAGATGACAACTTCTTAGTTTTAGACATTTGTCTTAGTCTGGGCTGCTGTAACAAACTGCCATAGACTGAGAGGCTTAATTCACATTCATTTCTCACAATAAATCTAAGATTAAGGTGGTGTCAGAGGGCCTGTTTTCTGGTGTGCAGAAGTCTTATCTTCTTTTATCCTCACATGGAGGAAAGAAAGCTAGCTGCTCCTTGGCTGTTCTTTTAAGAGAACGTAATAGAAGTTTCCACCCTCATGACCTAATTACTTCCAAATACCATCACAGTGGAATAAGGGTTTCAACATATGAATGTGGGAGGGACACAAACACTGAGAGCCTTGCAGTCATGTTAGAGATGAGGTGCTTGTGAGACATGTAGTTAACTTGGAATGTAAACTGGAAGTATAGAATATCAGAACGAAAGTATGGAACCGGAGGTCATCATCACAGCATTGAGTGTTGAACCTGTAGAGACAGATAATTACTGAGAGAGCAAGTGATGAAAATCAGATGACTAAGAGCACAGCTTTGAGAAAGACATGTTAAGAAGGCAAAAGTAGGGGTGTGTGGTGAAGACAAAGAGTAGTCATCCAAAAAGTAACAGAAACTTTAGCTACTCAGGAAGCAGAGATCAGGAGGATTATGATTTGAAGCCAAACCCAAGCAAATTGTTTTTGAGACCCTATCTTGAAAACACCCAACATGAGAAAAAGGGGCTGGCAGAGTGGCTCAAGTGGTAGAGCACCCACCTAGAAGCCCCAGTAAATAAATAAATAAATAATGTGTATATCTATCTCCATACATACATATATATATATGTATCTCCATGTATACATACATACATACATATATATATATATATATATATCTCCATGTAGGCCAAGTGTGGTAGCTGATACCTACGATCCCAAAAGGCAAAGACTGGGAGGATAGTTCAAGATCAGCCCTGGCAAAACGTCAGAAAGACCCCGTCTCAACAAATAAGCTGAGTGTAGTATAATCTCAGCTACACAGGAGGGAAGGATAATGGTCGGAGGTCCCAGGGAAAAATTTGAAACCCTATTTGAAAAATAATTAAAGCAAAAATGGTTGGGGGAGTGGCTCAAGTGACTGAGCACCTACCTAGCAAGCACAAAGCCCTGAGTTCAAACCCGAGTACCACCAAAAAAGGGTATCTTTTAATTAAGATGAAATGAAGTGATGATGATAGTACTTGCACCATCCTACAATGTGAAAGATGAACACACTAGAAAAGATAGTGAAGGTATGTTGCAAGCCATATTGAAATAAACTTACAAATATTAGCTATCATAATTCTTTCAAATACTCTTGCTATTGAAAAGAGAGATGGGGCCAGGCATGGTAGTACACACCTGTAATTTCATCACTCCACAGGTTGAGCCAAGAGGGTCTCAAGTTCAAGGTCAGCCTGCATTACATAGCAAGACCCTCTCTCAAAACAATAAAGGGGTAGGGAGGAGAGGGAACAGGAACAAATACAGTTTTGTTGTTATAAGAAGCACCTGAACGTATTTGAGGGAAGAACTGACTTGGTACTAAAATTCTACAATGTCATCAGTTTTAATGACTTTCATTTGAGAGACAGGCTAGGTGCAGATCCCTGCGAGTCAGGCTGTAGGTTTGAATCACAGCTCTGCTACTTAACATGTGTGCACTTCGGTTTCCTCATCTATGAAGTGGGGTTAATAACAGCACCTATCTCTACACAGCTGTGAGGATTAATGTATAAACAGTTAGAACTTTAGCACAAAATACATTCTCAAAAATGTTGACAACATATAAGTACATTGCCATATGCAACTATACATGCCTGTGGTGTACATGAGAGAGTTGTGTGTCATCATTTTGATAACTGGCCCCTTATGTTAGTCTGAGATGAGAAAGTGCTCATTCCTTCAGGGACACAGCAGTCAGAATATGGATGGTCAAATTTACTACCCCTACCAGGTCTTCTTCAGTTGAAGTCCACCCACGCATATTTATTTGCTTTGAAACAGTTAAGAATTTACAAAATTGGAATCAATTTTTCTACAATCTCCTGTATTTGTTCTATAGTTAAGGGAAGGGTCAATGTTACTAGGTCGACTTTAGATAAGCTGAAGATAAGCTTTGTTTACATTTCGTATATGAAATACTCAAAATGAATTTATAAAGGAAAAGAGGCACATAAAGGCAGTTACAATAGACTGAATTCTTTAGGGTGAGGCAATGGAATATGCTGAGCATACTATAGGTTGCAGAGCCACTCAGACCAGGATTGTGGATAGTTCCGAGTTGAGGGTCACAACTCAGTGTAAGAATTCATGCAATGATTCATTTATTGAGTTGTAACTATAGGGTGGCACTGTGCTAGACTCTAAGATACACTGAAATAAGACAGGACAGGAATGCTAGTCTGACATTTTAAACAAGTAAGTTAAAAACATGATGCACACGATTGAAGATTTTATATGCGGAACACTTATCTTAAACATGGCAGTCACTAAATAAATGTAGCTGTTAAATTGTTACACTCATTTTATCCTACTTCTCTACAGTTCCCTCTCTACCCCACCAAATTTTGCTCTTTGCTATAGCCTTGAGACTGCATCTGTATTCGGTACATAATAAATCATCAACAGAAAAACAGTATTGAGCTGTATGTCAAACAGAGGTATTAAACAACAACCCTCTATACTACCGCAGATAGTCATCTCACAGGTGACTGATGAGATGGACTTAGTAACAAGCTCCAGGTCAACAATCACTGAGGGGCAGACATGGGATTCAAATCTTGGCAGTTGGGGCCTACTTGCCTCTATATGCAGCATTAACAAATTAGTAACTCAATCAGTGACAAATTAGTGACCGAATCAACGAAGACCCTATGAGTAGAACCTACGAACGCTCTCCTTTTCATAAACAAAATATTAAAATATTCAAGGTGAATTTTATAAAAACTGTCAGCATTCATCAGATCTTCACGCTCTGGGACACGTGGAACCATAGAGAAAGCCATTAAACCACTGGCCCACACGTGGTTTGAACCACGTCATCCCTAACTCGGGAACGCAGTACTCCAACCTGTCAATGCCTTGGCGGAGCCTTTCTGCAAGGTGCAGGACAACCTGGCTCCGCAGCTAGCAAGGAGCCCAGACCCGGGCAGACACTTGGAGGTGGGGAAGGTCTCAGGAGCCAGGAGTGACTGGCAACCGGATACCCCATCCCGGCATGCACCACCGGCCGCGACGACCACGCCCCCCGGCGAGCTCCAGACGGCGCGTGTGCAACCCGCCGCCCGGAAGCGCCTCCTGCACATTGCATACTGGTAGTTGTAGGCCGAGGGCCTGAGCCCGCAGGCAGCCGTCCTCACACGCTCCATGAGGCTGCTGGAGCTGCCCGCGCGGCGCCGACTCGGGGTGCGCGCTTTGCGCTGAGTCAGCGGCGAAGGTGGCGGCAGCGTTAGCCGGCCCTCTCGCCCCTTCCCTTCCTAGGGCGCCGACCCCGCCCGCTTGCTTACTAGCCTGCCTGCTCCGCGCCACGCAAGAGCCTTAAGGCGCCCAGGGACGCGGAGCGGCGAGAGGCGCGCGGCCCCGGCCAGCTCGGTCTCCAGCGTGAGCGTTGGGGCCGTGGCGGAGGACTACGGCGACAAGGACGACGGCCGCTCTCCTCGCTCCCTGCGTGCGGCGCCGCTCACTCCGCTGACCGGCCCTCGGGAGTGCAGGCTTGGAAGAGGGATGGAGTGATAGGGAAGGTGACTCGAGGCTGGGGGTGGTGGTGCAGCGGCGGGACCTGTACTCCCCTCGGTAACCCCCACGCGAGGCTGCGAGGAAGTTGGCCCGAGGGAGTCCGGGTGCGGCGCCGGGGACCCTCCATGGCGCTGCGCTCCGCGGCTGGGCGGGCTGGGTGGGGGTGATACGAGAGGTGGCCGCTGTCGCCGAGCGCGTCCCGAGTTCGTGGCCGCCAGTTGCCCGGTATTTCATCACCCGAGTTGCCACGAGGCTTGGTTTGGGGAGGGAGGAATGGGGGCGAGGCAGGCCGAGGAGAGTCTACACGCTTTTGCACACCCCTCCACCCCCAGTCTATTTGGAGTAGTTGTAGGGCGTCCCACCATAGAGACCTCAAACTTGATTCTCCAGCCCGCTGCAGAAAGGAGAAAAAGTGTTATGTCTGTGTAATAATTTGCCAGCACCGACACTCCATTTCTTCTCTTTGCATTGCTCACAATCCTGCAGGAGCAGAGAAGCGTGAGGTTTCCCTGTAACCAGAAAAACGAGTACTTTTTGAAAGCGTTAATTAATTGTTACGGGGGAAGTTACGTTTTATTACAGAGACTTGTCAGCTTGATGTTCAAAGGCTGGAAAGTTTTCAGTAGGTGTGGAGGAATTTTCCAAACTGTTTGATTGTTGACTTAATAGCTATCCAGGAAAAGTTAAGGATTAATATTTAAGTATTTTGCTTTCCCTCCCCCACCTCCACCCCCAAACGCACCTTTGTAAAACGTGTACTTGAAGTGTTTGCCATATTGTAACAAATGTTTAAGCCTGCACGGATATGTCTGGTTACAATACTATGTGTTCATGCTCAGTCTTTACTGGGAAGGTTGTTCCTTTTTACTCGCTGTGTAAATTTTCAGTTTTTTGCACAAGCTGGGACAATTTACCATATCCCATTGCCTTTTCTAAGAGATTCCTTCTCTACTGACAACTGTAACAAATTTGTCTCCTTAGATTGTTTGTTGGCTATGGTTTTGGGGTTTTTTCCCCCATAGAACCACTTAATTTTTTTTCTCTTGATAGTAAGAGTAAAGTAACCGAGCTGAACAGTTTTCTCTAAAGCCATGACATATTAAAGGAAGTCTTTAGAAGTCTTCTCAATCTGGAATTCATAGAAATTCCAAAATCTCTTTTCCCTCTGTGTGGGCATTTTTTAGGGGAATGGTAATCGCTTTTCCTTGTCCTTTTGGCCAAGGGAGAAAAAAAATCTTCGTCTTCCCATCTGTTCAAAATGTTGAAATATTGACCTATTAGTTTAAGAATGTTCCAAGAAGTTCTCAGCTCCTGTGTGTCTACCTTTCAGTAACCTGTTGAGGGCCCACTATGTGGTAGGCGTGCACAAAGTAGTCTTTTATTATTGACAAGATTGGAATATAAACCCCTATCTTTTAAAACCTAAAACTTGTGTTCTTCATGCCAGGAACATAGTTATGAATATTCCAGACAGTCCTTACCCTTTAAGGTTAATGAGAACAACTAGCTGATAGTGACAATATAGCAGAGCCTAGTGGGGTATCTAATCCAATTTGGGAGGGTTGGACAATCAAGGTCAAGGAAGTATTCTTGAAAGAGATGACCTCTAAATTGAATTAAGGACAAGCAAGGATTAACCAAGTAGCTGAAAAGAGCAGTGTGTGCAAAGATGAAAGGCAGAATAGCAGCAATGCTGCCATGTGATGCAGCATTGCTGGCCTTGCTGAATTGGGTGCAGAATGGTGAGGGGGCACTCAAAATTGTTTGGATCTTAATCCTGAGGGCAAAGGGGAGTTACATTGCCTTGCTGTAGTCTGCAGGTATGCTATGAATGTCTAGAAAAGCAGCTGAACTTTCTTCTCTAAGTCTCTCAGCCTGTATTCTGATTTATCATTTCATTGCTGCAGGCCCAGGGAAGACAGAAAAGTATAAGGAGTCCTGAAACCTGGATCTGATCCTGGTCTCACCATTCCTAAAAGGCTGTAACACTCCCCTCAATCCCCCATTGAGTGTCTTGATCTTTTTAGGTTCTCTTTGATTATGACAATTTAAAAACAGAAGGCCCCACAGCTTTATAATGAGAGTAGTAAGTCTCCCTACCTCATAGGTCTCCAGAGAATGTGATTTTCACATCATTTTGAGTTTGTTACATATTTGCTCAAATAAATACACCTGTCAAAAACTACCCTGCCTTTTGGGGCTGATAATGTTCTGATTTGAGAATACTAGACTCTATATTCTAAAGAAGTAGATGACTTCCCAGAGATTTTTTAAAACGTGTTTTTAAGTAAGAGTAGTCAGTATAAGTCCCTTATGAATTCTGTGTCTGCTATTAAATTTTTCTTTCAAATAACATTTCTAGAATTGACTGTCAGCAGCAGAGATTTGTAACAGGCAGATACTGCCCGTTCATTGTTCAAAAGTTAAATGGCTGGTTTTTCACCTTTGTTTCATTTAACTTCTCTTGCAGTACTTTGTAAATACTCCAGTAAGTGTATTAAACTATGGGATCAGCTATTCAACTACTTTTTAGAGATCTGTGGTATTGATATCTGGAAGTAGGGAAATTATTGTATTTACTAAAACAAGAGACTCTAGATTTGCCATGTTTTTACAGTTGCACAGTTGTACTTTTAAATATTGGAGAGACTAAGTAATAGACTTCATAAATAGTGCTTCTGTTTAAAGAAGAAAATTATTACTTCCTGTACTTCACTGAGATTTTGAAGAATAAGATAGCTTGAACTTTAATGGCATATGTTTTACATTTTTAGACACTACACGTTACTGGAGCCTTTAGCAAGGCCCTTTCTGGGCTCTTATAATTTGGGTAAATTTCAAAAGATTTTTTAAGCACTGAAGTATCTGTATATTTTCATCCACTTACTATATTTTGGATAAGCGTTTATTTTTCTCATTGAGTATTATTTTCTCTCTCCTGTTTCTTATGTCCAGATGTTTGTGGATCCTTCTGTGGGATCAGAGGGCACGTCTATTGTAATCAGAAAACTGTAAGTGTAACAGTGGAGATGGATGAACAGGCTCTCTTAGGGCTAAATCCAAATGCTGATTCAAATTTTAGACAAAGGGTAAGTCTGCTTAATCATTTTTAAAAGCATGTTACCACAAATATGCAGTAAAGTATTTGAGCAAAAAATATGTCTGATAGTAAAGGTCTAATTTGGGTAGAAATGAATAGAAGCAAACAAATTTGAGGTAAGTATGTTTTGAAGACAGAAACAGTGATTTATTTTCAGTTTAGTTGGCTGAACCAAAATACTAAAATCTCATGTGATTTAAGGCAGGTCTTTATGCAACATGTCATTATTTCTAATTGTTTCAAAGTTGTAGCACAGGATTGTTCAAGGAACTTCCCATAGTAATAGACATGCATATTTTATTTTCCCATTGCTTACATAATGCTTGTATTAGTGATATTTAACATCCAGGCAGACATGTAAATAAGCAGTTTTGGTATGCCATATCTTAAGTTAATAAAAAATGATTATATGGCAAGGAATCTATTAGGAGGTGCTAGGATATTAAATGTCAGCAACCATAATGTAGCCTACAACTATAATCATGACTTTAGTTGAATGATAAAGAAGAATCTAAAGGACAATCCTATAATTATTTTTTAAAAGACATGGGTATTCTGAAGTATAGGCTAAGAGAAAGGAGAGGCATGTTTTCTACTTCTCATAGCAGAGAATACTTTTTATAAGCTTAACGAGGTTAGTAATCTCATTAAATATTATAGCTGTTTTTGTTCTGCTTTTAAGCAGAAACTTCTTAAAGCAGTTAAAAAAAAAAAAATCACAAGAATTTCTAACATAGTGCATACCTCTGCTGTTAAATAAGTAACTAGCCCTCCAGATGCAGGAAATAACAGGAATTGAGACTTTAGTGTCTGGCCAGTGACAAGATATCTATCATACTAGTTAGAATATCAAAAGATACTGAAAATCCCTGCGGTCTTCTGTGTATAAACAAAGATTCTTAGTGGTTTAAACTACCTACCTTCAAAGCAATTGAAGCATTGTACATCTTACTTTTAGTCTAGCTGGGTATTGCATGGTAGTTGTAATTAAAAGCCTTTGGCTATTTGTTGTTGTTGTTGTTATTAGATGGCCTTCTCTGTTTTTAAATAAGTCCTTTTTAAAATCTATAGTTTTTTGCTGGTGGAGTGGCTCAAGTGGTAAAACACCTGCTGAGCAAGTGTGAGGCCCTAAGTTCAAATCCCAGTACCACCAAAAGAAAAAAAAATACATTTTTTTAATTAAGTTTCAGCATCCAACAGATTTTTTTTTAAATGTGCCATGATTTTTTTTCACATTATTATTAGTGGTTTTAATACAGAAGTTGTGCTTTTTGTTGACAATAATGGGTTCTGTCAGAGGAATATTTTAAGTATCCAAGGATTATTTTGATATCCTGTTAAGCCAACCCAATTAACAGAATCAGTGAGGATGATACGGAAAGAATATTGAGAAAAAGTGAATTCTGTTAGTGCTAATGTTCTTCAGGACTAGTGGGAATTTACCAGTTTGGTGGTAAGATAATGACTGTCTCCCAGCCCCAAATACTCAGTTGTCCATCTATTTTCTACCTGGGCTGCAAAAATAGCTGAACTGACTCTGTTGTCACTTAGATGCTGAAAGAAGATATGGGATAGAAAAACTAGGTGATGAAAGCCAGATCTTGTTCACCATTGCCACAGGTTTTTTTTTTTTTTCTTTTTTCTTCTTTTTTTAATGCTAGTAATACATGGATTCAGAGGACAAAGATTTTGGTTTAAAATTGAAAGCTTTCAGGTTACTTCCTTTAATAGAAAAAACAAAAACCCAGCTTTGGCTTAAAGCCTCATCTCTCTAGTAGTAGACCACATCCTAAGGCTATGTAGTCTACCCTAAGTAGTAGTTCTACCCTAAGTCACTTGTAGCATAAACTTGGGTGTGATCCAAAGGGGATGATTATAAATAACAAAAGACAGTTCTGTCACTCAGAAAATTCCAAGAATTTTTAAGAGGCCTGGACTGGTTTTTTTTTTTTTTTTTTTTTTTGGCAGTTCTGGGGTTTGAACTCAGGGCCTCACACTTGCTAAACAGGCACTCTACTACCACTTGAGCCACTCCACCAACCCCTAAGAGGCCTGGACTGGGAAGGAGGGAATGAAGCAAAGCTCAAATATATATTATTATATCACATTTATACTTTGGTTTTTGGTGATTTTCATCTAATTACTTTCATTTATGAGTCATCTGTCAGTGTGAACAACCATTGAAATTATATATGAAAGCTTGTTCTCATATACTCACATAATGCAGGAAACTATCATATAAATGTACATATTTACAGTGGCTTCTTCTTCTGGCCAAAAGGAAACAATAATTTTAGATCTTGACCTAATTTGTATTTATGTGTGTGTGTGTGTGTATATATATGTGTATATATATATATATATATATATACACACATATATAACTAAAACAAGTTACATAAAGTAAGTTATTTTTGCTATATTACAATGCACTCTGATATATTCTCTACTCTTTTATTTTTTAAATTGCTGATCAAAACTGCTAAATAATCATAATTGAAAAATTGACTAATTGAAATTGGGTTTCTCTAATCCTTCATTTGCTTCTATCTCATGTTGAGGTTTGTATGGGTACCTAATTGTTTTAAGTCATCTAGCAGTGTTTCTAGTCTTTGTAATTTTCTTGCTGTTTAAGGTACTCTTCACAAGTTAAAATTATAGTACTATTTGTCCATTGTCATATGTGAATCCTACATCTAGTGTAATGTGCTAATGGGAAAGAGTAGCATAAGTAATCCCAATAGTCTGGCAGAGGGCATATAGACTTGATGCCACATCCATTCAAGAGTGCACTGGTTCTTCATTAGCACAATTTTTTACTTCTGATTGTAGGACTCTGATTTCATGAACAGAAGGATGAGAAGCATTTCCTAAAGCTTTCACTTTTTCAAATACTTGATATTTTCCCAAAGTTCATATCATGCAGTTATAACACTAATCTCTTTTGTTAGGGAGTTTGCATGATATAATAGAAGAATTGAAATACTGTGTTATAAATAGGTTAAGTAATATACACAATGTGTCTTAGCTTTCATAATCACCTCTTTAGTAGATTTACTATTAAGAAAAATACTTTTCATATACCCTTTAGTATTCTGTCGCTTGATAAAACTCCTGCATGTTTTCTCTCTAGGTTCTCTTAACCCAGAGAAGTCGACAGGGCGTTCTTATGCAGTCTCCTTTGTTGTAAAGGAAATGGATTTGAATAACTGATAGGTTTGTCTTCTGTTTAGTCTGTTTTCTAGGATTGATCCACACATTGCACATATTCAGAAGCTTAAACTGAATGCTTTAGTTGTTTTTCTATAAATTCAATGATTTGTTATTGGTTTGTTGCTCAAAATACTTGGTTTTGTACTAATAGGGCATGGAAATTGGACTATTCCAGATGTGTTTCTTTGTTTTGCATTCTTACAGGCCCTGGCCTATTTTGAGCAACTAAAGATTTCCCCAGATGCCTGGCAGGTGTGTGCAGAAGCACTAGCTCAGAGGACATACAGGTAATTAAAGCAAAATTTATGTGACATCGAAGGGAATTTAAATTCCTGTGAACATGGCAAGACTATTACTTTACCTGTATTTGGAAAGTGTTTTTATAAAAATACTTGTAGCTTGCCTTTTGGAAAATTTTTAAATATTTATTTAGTAAAGAAATAAGAAAAACAGTGAACCAATAATTAGACCATTCCAGAATTGACTTTTTAGTAAAACTATCCTTTGCTATATTTATGTTGTATACTTGACAGAAAATCTCAGCTGGAATAAACTGCAGTAAAAATTTCCTTAACTTCTTATGATTGGGAGTAGTAATTGGTTTTCTAAAAAATTGGGAAAGAAGGTGACCATAAATTGTATATATCTTGATTTTACATTTTAAGTATGTAAGCATTCGATGACCGTTCTTTGGCATTGGACCAAGGTCTTGTCTTTACTATTCTCTTCGGTCTTACTGTACCCATAATGCATCCTCTACAGTTTCTAGCATGGGGCTCTGTAATGGAGTGTGGAAGAGTGAAAGGACATTCCTAGGTATTTTCATGTCTTCTAGTTATCTTATTTGCATCAAATATGTATGAGGTTTTCCCCCTTGCAATGTGACTTTCTATGATGTCTTTCTAAAGCAGTCATCTTAGTTTTTTTATATAAATAGGAACTCTTATGCTCATTTTATCAGTTTATATAATTAATTAAGTTACTTTCTTATTGAAGAAAAATTGGCACATAAGGCTTGTGGGAGACACAACTGACTATTGGTAAACAAACAACTCATTAGTGGGAGCAAAAGCACATGGGGTTAGTGATGGCTTCCTGACTAGAGTTGTTCGAGTGCTGTGCATATTATCCTATTGCTTGAGTTTATCCAATGCTTGAGTTTAGCAGAAGTTGGTTCCAAGAACATCTTAGAGTTTTAATTGAAGGTTTCCTGTAGTTTTTTGCTTCAGTAGAAAATCTAAGTCTTAACATAATTCAGTTAAGGCTGCAGTGTCATCCTTAATTAATAGAAAACTAAAGTCTCAGAAGAAATGCTTATTAAACCTAACTTTTAAAGAAGTTTTAAATGATTAAATTCTGTCCTCTTGTGTGTGAGATTGTTTTGTTTGGTTAACTCATGTAGTATAAATTAATATGAAATCTCCATTGTTAAATGGACCAGTTAGTTTACATAGGAAAAAATGCTATACAACTAAGCTTGGCTTAGATCAACTACCTTGAATGAGCAGATTGTGCAGCTCATAGAGGGACTTTGCTAGAGTTTATAGCTGGCTCACTATAACTGTATCACCCCTAGACAAACAGCTGGAAGTGGATAACTGGTACGTGTTGACTTTTGCCACCCCCTCCCCTTATAAGGTCAATACATTTGTAGCTTCCTATATAAATGTTCGTGTTGGGATGATGGTCTGCCTGGTCCTGCTCTTTTTGAATTTGGCTGCAATGTGATTAAATTTTAGGTAGGACTTGTCAAATCAAAGATGATTTGACAGTCTCTTGCTCTTATACCATTTGCCCTTTCACACTTAACCTTTCTATCATAAGACGTAGAAATTATTCCAGGGATCTTTGGGTTATAATACATATATACATGAAAATGTCTCAAGAAAACTCCCTGTATAGCTATCTTAAACAAAAGTGTCATTTTTTTTCAAAAATGAAGAACAGGAAGGCAAAACAGGTCCTGTATTGGCGGTTGGTACCAGTGGGAGAGGGGAGGATATAAGGAAATGGTGAAGAAGGGTGAATATGGTGAAAATATTGTGTACACATGTATGTAAATGGGAGAATGACACCTGTTGAAACTGTTCCAGGAGTGGGGGGAAGGGACTAAAGGAGAGCAATGCAGGGGTGAATTCAACTATGATACCTTGTAAGAACTTTTGTAAATGTCACATGTACCCCCAGTACAACAATAATCATAAAATTCCTAAAAAAAAAAAAAAAAAAAGGTTCCAGGAATCTTAACATCTAGAATTTGGGGCAAAGCATTACATTTAGGGTACAGCTTAAGTTATTTGCTTATTTGCTTGCCAGATTTAATGGAAATACTGAATATTAACTTTTAAGTGAATCTGAATGTTATAAAATAAGATTGATAAATAGAAAATAACCCAAGAAATGTCTCAACTGTTATTCAGTAATATTTTGCCTTTGTTTTGTTTTCTCCAATTTATATTCTGATTATCTGATTTTCTTTTTTTTTTCAGTGATGATCACATAAAATTTTTCTGCTTTCAAGTATTAGAACATCAAGTTAAATACAAGTAAGGCTTTTATCACTGTTTGACTCAGATTTGTAGAGAGAGGCCATTTGGTTTTCCTTTGAGGAAACCATAGTATAGGTGGTAAATTGACAATAAGTTATATCCAAGTTAAAAATGTGTTTTGATGTATCTCAAACTGGGTTAGTTTGTTGGTTACATATAAAAATACAGGCATTTTATAGAAAAATCTAGATTTCTAACTTCTCTGGAAAAGGCAGAATATGTAGCAACAGTAGGCCTGTTTTCTATGTGACAACTCTGACAGAGTTGAGTGGCAGCACTTGTGTTTAGAACCTCTGTACTAATTGAGAGAAAACAAAGAATCATCTGCTGATTTATTCTGTAGACCAGAGACTTCAGAGCATGGGTATATTTGTGTTTGAAAAATTGTGTAGCTTTCATTTTGTTTTAACATGAACTGAGCCACAAATTAGTGATCAACAATGATAACTTTATCTGCCACTCTTCATCCCCGTATTTTCTTTAAAGCTGTGTTGACAGGCAGTAACAATTTATTTTGGGAAACTAGATAATTGGGTGTTACGTAAAACCTTCCCTTTCAAATAGATGAGACTTATTTCTCAAGAACACAGACACCAAATATAGCCACTGTTCTTTCTGTTTTGAACAGATATTCAGAACTAACCACTATTCAACAACAACTAATTAGAGAGACACTCATATCTTGGCTTCAAGCTCAGGTAAAATAGTTAATTTCATCAGTGCTTCAAATGATCACTTTTTATTAAAAGTGTTGGTTTTGAAGTTAATGGGTAGAAAAAAACTTGGCAATAATTAACATTATATTGATTTCCAGAATTGTTAATGTCGTTCCATGACATATTGTGGAAACTTTGGTTTTAAGAGGTAATTGTTTGGTCTTTGGGTTTTTTTCCTTCTTGACAAAAGCTGCTTTTTCTTTTGGGTTCTTAAAGGTGAGCCTCCTGGACAGCCTCTTAACAAGGGCTCTTCTCAAAAAGCAGATAGAGTTCTTTATTTACAGATGTTCTTTTTGGTTAATTGTAGCTAAAGTTAACATTTAAAGCAGTTGTGTAGATAGTTTTTGAATTGAATTTTTTTTCCTCTTGAAAGAAATGACATGAGTTATTAAAACTCTGCACATGAAACTTTTGTTACAAGAATAAGCCGGCTGTGGTGGCTTGTGTCTTTAATCCCAGCACTCACAAGCAGAAGCAGGAGGATCATAAGTTTTACGCCAGCCTGGGCTACATAGTGAGACTCTGTCTCCAAAAACCAGGAGTTTAGGATGTAGCTCAGTGGCAGAGCCCTTGCCTACCTAGCATACATAAAGCCCTGGGTTCAATTCCCAGGACTGAAGAAGGGAGGGAGGAAAGAAATTAAAGATGAGAGGTAATCATCAGAACCTTTAGTCTTTTCATTTTTCTCCAAATGGAGATTTAAGAAGATACTTGGATTTTTTTTTTTTTTTTTTTTTTTTTTTGTACTGGTATTTGAACTCTGAGTTTCATGCTTGTGAGGCAGATACTCACTCATGTGAGCCATTCCCTCTAGTGCTTTATGCTCTGGTTATTTTGGAGATAGGGTCTGACCTTTTGCCCAGGCTGGCCTGAGACGCAGTCCTTCTGATTTCAACCTCCCAAGTAGCTAAGATTATAGGTGTGAGCCACCAGTGCCTGGCTTAAATACTTGGATGATCTTGGTACAGGTTTGTGGCTGTGCTAATCTGGACCATGTTGAAGCTAATGGATTTTGTCTACTGATGAGAAGTAGAAAAACAATGTGCTTTTTAGTTTTTTCCATTTCATTTTAATTTTGTGGGGTATTTCTGTTTGTCAGATGCTGAATCCCCAACCAGAGAAGACCTTTATACGAAATAAAGCAGCCCAAGTCTTCGCCTTGCTTTTTGTTACAGAATATCTCACTAAATGGCCCAAGTTTTTTTTTGACATTCTCTCAGTAGTGGACTTAAATCCAAGAGGAGTGGATCTGTACCTTCGAATCCTTATGGCTATTGATTCAGAGTTGGTGGATCGTGATGTGGTTCATTCATCAGAGGCAAGTAACTTCCTATTAATTATTAGTTTTTAATGAAGATTTTGCAGGAGGAAATGAGCACACAATAAAAAGGAACAGGAAACCTCCCCCTTTTTTTTTAAAGCATTCTTATGAATAATTATAAATAGTCATTTTGAATTTTGTTGACAAATTTACACTTGATTTTTTTTCCAGATATAGGCTGAAATTAAGAGTTACTACATTAGGTTTTTTTTACACTAGGAAAATACTTTCACCAGTGAAATACACAGTTGATTGTCTCGCCTTTGTTGAGAAATGTAGTCTATATTTAATGTTTGTATGTAGTCCCTGAGCAGGGAAGAAGCATTGCATATGAATTGTCAGTGCTGGCCTCTGTATTTTCAATCACATTAGCAGTCACCTAGTCTTTTATCTATTCTATTTCTTCATTAATTTGTGTAACTTTTGTCTTACTGCTTTTTGTTGTTGTGTTTTTGTTTTTGTTTGGTTTGGTTTGGTGCTGGGAATTGAGCCCAGGACCTCACACATGCTAGGCAATCTCTCTACTGCTGAGCTACATCCCCATGATTTACTTACTGCACACATTTACTTACTGCCACATTCTAAGTAGTTAAGTATCATGTTTAATATTGAGGAATAACTTATCACATGCTTAAGATTTGTAAACAATGCTTATGTATAGCTTGTATTTAATAAGAAACTAGGTCTGGCACCGAAGAATAGAACGGAAAGAGGAAATACAAAGAATCACAGGATATGATTTTAGAAATGATAAATAGGAAATTGTGGCAGAGAATGTGTTAACAAGTCTGGAAGTTTAGTGTGGAGGAAATTACTGTGTGCAACTATATTTGATGTTAGATATTATTTTGTATTCTACTTTGTATTTGGTGTTTTGTTTTTCAGGAGGCTCGTAGGAATACTCTAATAAAAGATACCATGAGGGAACAGTGCATTCCAAGTCTGGTGGAATCATGGTACCAAATTTTGCAGAATTATCAGTATACTAATTCAGAAGTGACATGTCAGTGCCTTGAAGTAGTTGGGGCTTATGTCTCTTGGATAGACTTATCCCTCATAGCCAATGATAGGTAAATATGCCTATAATTTTTTAATATAAATATGCAGAATACAGTGTCTAATATTCATGACTTTGAAAATGTTAAAACAGTTTTATTCCCACATTACCAGGTTTATAAATATGCTGCTAGGTCATATGTCAATAGAAGTTCTACGGGAAGAAGCGTGTGACTGTTTATTTGAAATTGTAAATAAAGGAATGGACCCTGTTGATAAAATGAAATTAGTAGAATCCTTGTGTCGAGTATTACAGACTGCTGGGTTTTTCAGCATTGACCAGGTGAGTGAGGAAAAAAAAAAAAAAAAAAATATATATATATATATATATATATATATAAAATGTTGAAAATTGTTCGAACAACAGAGAGATAGTAAATGAAGCGTAATAATACCTTTTTCTTTTTTCTGAATATTGGAAACTCCTTGAAATTATAATAAACTGTCCAGAGAGCTGTAATGTTATTTATAACATTTACTTTGCCCATTGTAATTGTCTTATTTAGCCCCTGGTTTTAAAAAAATAATCTAAAATAGTGAAGGTAGAGCCTCTCTGTAGGAGAACAGCCTAAGGACAATTAGTGAAAATGATCTAAGTTTGAGTTCTGGCTTTAACATTGATAATGACCTGAGACAGGTCATTATAGTAGTAGTTTTGTGCCTTCTTACGATAGTTGAGGCTAAATCAAAACAAACCAAACCAAATCAAATCAGAAGGAAATTTAGAGAGTAAAAGATTTTGAAATAACTGTTATTTTATTTAGGCTTTAATAAAGCTGCTAATGTTCACAAGACTATTATCACTAAGAATAGTTGCTAAGAGTATTAGGGGTGTTATGTAACAGAAAATTCAAATTCTAATAAATGCCCAGTCATAATGGTAGCATTGTTAAATGTCTAAATGTCAGTTTAAAACTGATTTATATAATTGGTATTGGATTCATACTAAAGTTTTCCCTCTTACTCTTGGTGTAGTGCTAGGTGGTTGCAAATTGAGGTCTTTCTTGATTGCTTATAGGAAGAAGATGTGGACTTCCTGGCCAGATTTTCTAAGCTGGTAAATGGAATGGGACAGTCATTGATAGTTAGCTGGACTAAATTAATTAAGAATGGGGATATCAAGAATGCTCAAGAGGCACTACAAGCTATTGAAACAAAAGTAGCACTTATGTTACAGCTACTAATTCATGAGGATGATGACATTTCCTCTAACATTATTGGGTTTTGTTATGATTATCTTCATATTTTGAAACAGGTAAGACCTTGTCTTATTCTTTTAGTTTAATAGATACTATAAAGAAGCCATGAAGAATTAGAAAATACAAGAAAGATGAAAATAAGGAAACAGCCACAATTCTATTGCCCAAAGATATTTACTATTAATTACTAGTATGTTTCCCTCTGTTTTTATTTAAAAAAAAAAAAAAAAGAAAGAAAGAAAGAAAAGAAAAGCCTTCAAAACTGAGCACCCATGGCTCATGTCTGTAACCCTAGCTACTCAGGAGGCAGAGATCAGGAGGATTCCAGTTCAAATAGTTCATGAGACCCTATCTTGAAAATACCCAACACAACAAAGGGCTTGGGGAGTGGCTCAAGTGATAGAGTGCCTGCATAGCAAGCGTGAAGCCCTGAGTTCAAACCCGAGTACCACAAAAACTTCTTGGCTAGAAAATGAGAGTGATTAAGTTCTAAAATTAGTTAGACTAACAAGCTTTAGTTACAGTCTTAGGTTGTCTTTTCCTTTTGAACCTGTATTTCTAAATACAGTGGAAATTTTGCTGTATATTTAATTTCATGTGTATGTCATTTGTTAGAAACCATTTTTTACAATTAAAATTTTTGCTCAGTTCTTTCCAATAAGAACTGAAAATGTGCGTGGTGTTAGTCTCCATATTATATGGTATGTACCATTTTAAAGAATTTGCTCTCATTATGTCAATAGATGAGAGAGTCATTCTTATTTGCATTGGATTAATTGAGTCAAGTAAGCTTAAAGTAATTTCTTCGCAAAAGGAGTTTAGCTTCCTTTATTCTTATAAACATAACACATGTCTGCAAGCATACTTTAAGAAATTTTAGGCAGTGTGAAAATATGATCATTATTGGTAATCCCATGATGTTATTTCTTAATGGGTTTCTAGCTTATTTTGCTTTTTTAAAGAACAAGATGAGATCATTCTTCATTCTCTTACAACCTGCTCCTTTGCTGAATACATCACACATATCTTTAAAAATCAAATTCATCTACGTCTTTGCCTATATGTCAAGTTTTTTACCAGAAGTGAAATTACTAGATCTCAAGTATATATAACTATCCACTAGAAACTTATAGTGTATGTTTTGAATCTTAATTGATTAGGAAAATAGTCTGATAGGCAAGTACAACTTGAGGAAATCTAATAAATTATTGCTTACTTTTTAACAGCTTACAGTGCTCTCGGATCAGCAAAAAACTAATGTAGAGGTAATTGACTTCTTTATCCCCCTTTTAAATCAGTGATAGGTTCTTTGTCGAGAATCTACCTTGAAGGGGGGAGAGAGGATAAAGGTGAATGATGGAGGGGTGAATTCAACTATGATGCATGTTGTAAAAGCTTTGGTAAATGTCACAATGTACTCCCAGTCCAACAATAATAATTTTTTTTTAAGTTTAAAAAAAACTCTACCTTGAAATTTTAAATTATATCAAATTAAAGTTGCCTAATTGACAAAAGCTATTTTATTCTTAATTTTAGGCAATCATGTTAGCCGTTATGAAAAAATTGACTTACGATGAAGAGTATAACTTTGAAAATGAGGTAAAATTTTTTGCATCAAAGAGAAAGCACTTTTAATTTTGTTTGCATGTGTCAAATTAATATTTCATAATTTTGTTTTGGAACTCTTTACAAGAAGTAGTATTTGAAAAATCAATTGATGTTGTATTGTTTATATTAATGGCACTCTTGGGATAAAATTAATCCTTCACTTATGATATTTTGTTCATTAACAACCCGTTTTAAGATACTTTGGGGGTAGCTCAGTGGTAGAATGCTGGCCTGCCATGTCCAAGCATAGGTTCAATCCCCAGGACCACAAAGAGAAATACTACTTTGTAGCATTAAAACTTAGTAAAATAATGACAATATTATTGGTGATCATATCCAACTTTGTATCTAATAAGAATGGTGAGTTGAGGCCCAGTGAGTAGGCCTCTAAGTCATCAATTTGTATGGGATGGTGGGGATGAGGGTTAACTCTCTAGACATGTTGTAGTTAAAAGTTTTGTCCAGAGTTGTGAGAGGGTCAGCTTCCCATCAAGGACGAGGGCCATCTGGAAACTTGACCATAGCATTGCTGTTTAGGTATGCACTAAAATATTCTGTTTCCTATTTAAGCATTTAAAAAGGTTGGACTGCAAAAGGATAATGGTAATTGACCAACACGGCAAACTTAGGATGTACCAGGGCCCTGATTATTACCACTTTTTAAAAATTCTTTTGGTGGTACTGGAGGTTGAACTCAGGACCTCTCACTCACTCATCAGGCACTTTACCACGTGAGTGATACATGTACCAAAATGCCCCCCAGCCCTCTTTGGTTATTTTGGGGCTAGGGTCTCATGTTTTTACCCAAGCCACCTAGACCATGATCCTTCTATTTATGCCTTCTCCACATAGCTGGCATGATGCCTTGCTGTTGGTTGAGATGGGTCTTACTAGCTTTTTGCCTGGGCTGGCCTCAAACTGCAATCCTCCTAATCTCTGCATTCTTATGAGCTGGAATTACAGATGTGAGCCACTATGCCCAGCTTATTACTACTTCTTGAGCTAAAAGGCAGTGAACAAGATGAAGATGGTGAAAGTTTCAAAGCCCAGTGCATACCCATTCTAGCTGTAGTATATTCTCACCCTTAATCTCCTTCTTATACTATTTCTAGGCTTTTGAGGGCTAGGACTATATTAAGAAAAACTTATTTGTAAGCAGGAGAGGAAAAGGTACTAAGCATAGTGTTTTTCTAGTAAATACTGTTGAAAAATAAAAGTATGACATTTGTAAATGCAGAAAGCTACACAACTGAACATTGATAGGAATTTTCTTTTTATTTCGAAGTTTTATTTTGATTTCTTGAGGCAGGGTCTCACTTAGCACTCAGGGTAGCCTCGAATTCACTCTGTGGCTCAGGCTGGCCTTGAACATCCTACCTCAGTTCTTTAGTGTTGGGGTTACAGGTGCGCATCACCACTCCTGGCTAAAGATCTTAGGTTTTGAAAATGAGGATCTTAATCTGTGTCAACAGGGTGAAGATGAAGCCATGTTTGTAGAATATAGAAAACAACTGAAGTTATTGTTGGACAGACTTGCTCAAGTTTCACCAGAGTTACTGCTGGCTTCTGTTCGCAGAGTTTTTAGTTCTACGCTGCAGTAAGTTTTACTGTTTAGAAAGCGCACTTCTTTCCTTTGTTCCCGGAAGGTGTTCTAAAATAGCTGATTCATATGATGACTTAATCCATTACTTGTGTGTCTCTTTGGAAATGGTGTACTTTCCTCTGTAATTTATCTTAATCTTTCTACTTTTGTGGCATAAATTACATTGCTTGGTGAAATTAATGAATGATATGACTTTTTTTATTTATTAAAGAGACTTCTGTTGGTTGTTACTTGTCCAGTGATTTAAAAAAAAGCTTACGTTTAGATCTCACTGACATGTTCTACCTTGGTAGGAATTGGCAGACTACACGGTTTATGGAAGTTGAAGTAGCAATAAGATTGCTGTATATGTTGGCAGAAGCTCTTCCAGTATCTCATGGTGCTCACTTCTCAGGTGATGTTTCAAAAGCTAGTGCTTTGCAGGATATGATGCGAACTGTAAGTATACCGAAGATAATTTATTTTGAAAATAATTTTATGTTCTCACTATAAGCTAATGGGAGATCCTTAGTTGCTAGAGCTTTGTGTATGTTTATACTTGGAGCTTTTGATGTTGCAATAAGTAAGAATAGATTTCTTTGTTTTTTTCCTGGTACAGTTGGTGACATCAGGTGTCAGTTCCTATCAGCATACGTCTGTGACATTGGAGTTCTTTGAAACTGTTGTTAGATATGAAAAGTTTTTCACGGTGGAACCTCAGTACATTCCATGTGTCCTAGTGAGTATATGCTTTGCTCTGGATTTTTATTATCCATGTATTTCAGCTTGTGACCAGATTGTAATCCATTTTTCTGTCCTCTCTAATTTTTCTAAAAGTCAAAAGCTTATCAAAAACAAGTCCTCAAGAGCCTCTTTGTGCATAGTATGAAATTATTTGTATTCCTGGTCCCTGCCTTTGGTGTGCTGAAGAAGTTTTAAAAAAATGAGGAGGGGATATGGTAGAGTTTGAACTTGGGATCTTGCACTTGCTAGGCAGGCGTTCTACCACTTGAGCCATACCTCAGCCCCTAAGAAGTAAAATTTGATGTGAACAAAAATGTAATATGACAAAAGTAATGAAAGCTTTGGATATGTGCAAAAGTAGTAAAAATACCTCTTTCTCTTTAGATGGCTTTCTTAGATCACAGAGGCCTGCGACATTCTAGTGCTAAAGTACGAAGCAGAACCGCTTACCTGTTTTCTAGATTTGTCAAGTCTCTTAAGTAAGTATAAATTTCAGCTATCGTGTTTAGCTCTTTTTTTCAGCCATAAAATATATAAATTATTTTCCAAGAGCTTGGAGTAGATTTGGTTCTTTCTGTTCTAAGACTTGCTTTACTGGGGGTTCATTTTTATGTTATGACTTCTTTTCCTCATTAGCCAGTACTTGGTTCAGCACTAACAAATGACTTGTTTTTGTTTTTTTCTGTTGTTTGGTGCTGGGGATTGAACCTGGGGCCACACATGCTAAATGCCACTTTATCACTGATCTATACATCCCAGCCCCTGTGCAGATTTCCAGTAGGTAATACCTGTCATCACTATCACTAATGGCATTTGTTAGTTATTTAACCAACAATTTTATTGCAGTGAGTCATTATATGGTTTCTTTGAAATTCTCAAATGTACTCCTGGAAAAACACATTTTTAACCTAATATGTTTTTTGATATGAAAAGTGCTTATGATTAGGATTGTAAGTCATCTTGATAATCACTATAGAGCAGATAGAGGCAGTTTGTAAAAAAATTAGTCATAGCTAGTTTTAATAATCAGATATGGCTGGCCTAGAATTGAACTTTTCTTTAGTTGTTTTAAACAGAAATTTGGTGTCTTAGTGGTTTTTTAATACTGTTATTTACTTGTGGTTTTCCTTTTTGCCTTTATTCAGTAAACAAATGAATCCTTTCATTGAGGATATTTTGAATAGAATACAAGATTTATTAGCCCTTTCTCCACCTGTAAGTATCTGTCCTTCCAAGGTATTTTCCCCAGATATCATTAAGGCCACAAAGGCCATTCGCCAGTACATTTGTGGACTTTAGTTTTGTAACTGGTGGTGGGGAGAAGCATATGTGCAGGGCTTACTGTGATGTGGTAAAACAGTAATGGAAAGAAATCGAAAGTTAACTAATACATTGGGTAGCGTGGGGTATGATCTGATTTTTCTGTACTGTTAAATCTTTTATGGAGAAGAAAAAGTTCAGTTTCTAAATTATTCTGTAGTGCTATGATCATATTAGTCATTCTTAGTAAGTGCTATTCTTACACTGAAGTTTTTCTATGTATCTTCAGGTTTAGCATAAAAAAATAAATAAATACCATTTGGTGTCCATTTCACCAGAAAGATTTAAGTTGTTATTCTGTAAATACATTTTGACTAGTAGAGTGGACTTTTGGTATCCACAGGTTTATGGTTCCAAAGATACTACCATTAAGAAAAAATCATGAGTGTTCAGGATACATAGAATTCAGTACGCTAAAATTACTCAAATTTACCCATACACATAGTATAACTTGAAACTACATGGAGTAGGCTGCATTACTGTCAGAAAAGTTACTGTTGTACACTGCTCACCAAAAACTAGATCTTATGTCATGTTTTTTGTCCTGAATACTAAGGATGCTTAATTCATTTTGCCCAACTTCCGCTAAAGACATGCCACCTTTCAACAAATCTAAAAAATTTAAGTACATTCACTTTTACCTTGTTTTGGGGACACCATTAGTTTTGAGGGAGGCAGATTTTCAATTTAAGAGCAAGGAAACAGCAGATCACACGGCGATTTTGTTGTTGTTTTACTTTTTGCTAAATGTAAATTATTTATTTATAATACCTACTGCCAATCTTTTCACAACTCACGACAATGTGAGACTTACTGGGGGCATCTCTGCGTCAACTGAGCTGCATAACGTGCATGCAGAGAATTCATTATTCTTGATCACACTTGGTCAAAATTGCATGTGATAAATCTTCAAAGTTGAGCTTACTGTACATGTTACTGTGTAAAGAAAATGCTGATACTTATTTAATGACAGTCATTACTATTGGTGCTCAGTTAATGCAGTTTTCCTTTGCAATTCAGCACTGACCCATGAAACTCAGGCTTTCAAAGAGCAATATTATCTTACATGGACTAGAAATTTTCCATGGTTTTTTTAATATAGTAAATATAAATAAGGTTTTTTTTTTCTTTTTTACTGTACCTGTAATTGTTTTCACTATATAAACAAAAACTTGAGATATGGATAGTATAGGTGCCTAGCAAGCAGCCTCTTGAGTTCAGGCCAAAAAAAATCCAAAACAAAAACTTAATTCAAATTGCTTTCTTGAATGTCAACCATCTAGGGCTGGCTGAGTGGCTCAAGTGTAGAGCACCTGCCAAGCAAGCATGAGGACCCCAGTTCAAACCCCAGTGCCACCAAAAATATAAATAAAGTAAGTTGAGGTTTGAATGTCTTCCACTTAGGAGTATGATTGCCCATTTTAGGAGTTCTCTGTATTTATAGTTACTTTGTGTTCTCAACTCATAGAACAAGAATTTAATAAATGCTTTAATTACTTTTTTTTTTTGTGTTGGTGGTACTGGAATTTGAACTTTGGGCTTATACTCTACCACTTGAGCCATGTCCCCAGCCCCTTGAATTACTTTTTAAATGGGACATTTTTCTTTTAAGGAACGTGGCTTTTTCAGTGGATGAGCAGTTCTTTTATAATCAAAGAATTTTATAAATTGTTTCTTTGAACACTAGGTTTTTGTATGATTTCTTAATGGAAATTTCAGTGTTGGCCCTCAGATGGCCTCTGATTTTTTTTTTTCTCCCTTCTCTTGGCTTCTCTGTGTACATAAAAGTAAAAAATAACAAAACTTTCTAATAAAACTTGACCAGTACATGAAATGTCTGCTTGCACATATGAGATACATGTTTTCTTATTTCCATAATATTCTAAAGTAATTAGTATTGTTTATACATGTGTGTATATGTATTGTGTGGGCTTCGTTAATTTTTATTACATTTGTAAACACTCATAAAAATACTAGTTTTTGTGGCCTTTGTACCAACAAAGCATTTTTGTATACCTCAAGTTTAGCCTTATAAAAATGTTACAAGTATGATTTTTACAAAAGGAAATAAGTTTAAAGACTAACAATTAAATGATTGTGTGCAAACTGTTGTCAGGACTAGAAGTTTTTTTTTAAATGGTGCTGGAAATGTAACTCAAGACTTTGGTGTAGGCTAAGCACACTCTACCACTGAGCTACACCTGCAGCCTAGGACTAGAATTAGAACCATCATCTTTTTGGACCTCTTGTTCAGTTTTTTTTTTTTTTTTTCTATTATAAGTTGTGGGAGAAATTTTGTTTATATGAGTAACTTGATCTGTGAGTTCATATGATAGATTGTGTCTCCTGTCTCTCTTATTCTGATTAAATGAGAGAAAAATTAAAGAAATAAAAATTCAATAAAGTGAAATTTCATTCCAGGAGAATGGGTACCAGTCCTTGTTGAGCAGTGATGATCAACTATTTATTTATGAGACAGCTGGAGTGCTGGTTGTTAACAGTGAGTACCCAGCAGAAAGGAAGCAAGCATTAATGAGGAATCTATTGACTCCACTAATGGAGAAGTTTAAAATTCTGTTAGAAAAATTGATGCTGGCACAAGATGAAGAAAGGCAGGCATCTCTAGCAGACTGTCTCAACCATGCTGTTGGATTTGCCAGGTAAGCATGATTGTAGTTAGAATTGTAAAGTGAGTGCTTTTACATGGGCAGAATTTACTTGGATCTTACTTGGATCTTCTGTTTTATACTACACACTTCTGAGCAAGAGCTTGAGTCTAAAGATTGCTTTCTAATTTTAAATGAGTAGTTTGTAGATTGCCTAGTACAGCTTAGTCATAAGAAGTAGAATATTTTCCTGCATACTCTTATCAGGATTTTAGTAAAGCATTTAGGTGGACTCATATTGGAGGGATTATATTAACTACATCTCATTCATTTAAGTTAACTTGGAGCATTTCGTTCCGGAATAATCCTTGGAAACAAGTTTATATACAACCATATTAGCTGAAGGTGGAAGTAATTGTTATGTGGAAAATAAAGAACTGGTTTCTCAAATTCAGCAACACATCAAAAAGATTATTCACCACAACCAAGTAGGCTTCATCCCAGGGATGCAGGGGTGGTTCAACATACGAAAATCAATAAACGTAATAAACCACATTAACAGAAGCAAAGACAAAAACCACTTGATCATCTCAATAGATGCAGAAAAACCCTTTGATAAGATCCAACACCATTTCATGATAAAAGCTCTAAGAAAACTAGGAATAGAAGGAAAGTTCCTCAACATTATAAAAGCTATATATGACAAACCTACAGCCAGCATTATACTTAACGGAGAAAAACTGAAACCATTCCCTCTAAAATCAGGAACCAGACAAGGATGCCCACTATCTCCACTCCTATTCAACATAGTACTGGAATTCCTAGCCAGAGCAATTAGGCAAGAAGAAGGAATAAAAGGAATACAAATAGGAAAAGAAACTGTCAAAATATCCCTATTTGCAGACGACATGATCCTATACCTTAAAGACCCAAAAAACTCTACTCAGAAGCTTCTAGACATCATCAATAGCTATAGCAAGGTAGCAGGATATAAAATCAACATAGAAAAATCATTAGCATTTCTATACACTAACAATGAGCAAACGGAAAAAGAATGTATGAAAACAATTCCATTTACAATAGCCTCAAAAAAAATCAAATACCTAGGTGTAAACCTAACAAAAGATGTGAAAGACCTCTACAAGGAAAACTATACACTTCTGAAGAAAGAGATTGAGGAAGACTATAGAAAGTGGAGAGATCTCCCATGCTCATGGATTGGTGGAATCAACATAGTAAAAATGTCGATACTCCCCAAAGTAATCTACATGTTTAATGCAATTCCCATCAAAATTCCAATGACATTCATTAAAGAGATTGAAAAATCTACTGTTAAATTTATATGGAAACACAAGAGGCCACGAATAGCCAAGGCAATACTCAGTCAAAAGAACAATGCAGGAGGTATCACAATACCTGACTTCAAACTATATTACAAAGCAATAACAATAAAAACAGCATGGTACTGGCACAAAAACAGACATGAAGACCAGTGGAACAGAATAGAGGATCCAGATATGAAGCCACACAACTATAAGCAACTTATCTTTGACAAAGGAGCTAAAAATATACGATGGAGAAATAGCAGCCTCTTCAACAAAAACTGCTGGGAAAACTGGTTAGCAGTCTGCAAAAAACTGAAACTAGATCCATGTAGATCACCCTATACCAAGATTAACTCAAAATGGATCAAGGATCTTAATATCAGACCCCAAACTCTTAAGTTGATACAAGAAAGAGTAGGAAATACTCTGGAGTTAGTAGGTATAGGTAAGAACTTTCTCAATGAAACCCCAGCAGCACAGCAACTAAGAGATAGCATAGATAAATGGGACCTCATAAAACTAAAAAGCTTCTGTTCATCAAAAGAAATGGTCTCTAAACTGAAGAGAACACCCACAGAGTGGGAGAAAATATTTGCCAACTATACATCAGACAAAGGACTGATAACCAGAATATACAGGGAACTTAAAAAACTAAATTCTCCCAAAACTAATGAACCAATAAAGAAATGGGCAAGTGAACTAAACAGAACTTTCTCAAAAGAAGAAATTCAAATGGCCAGAAACACATGAAAAAATGCTCACCATCTCTAGCAATAAAGGAAATGCAAATTAAAACCACACTAAGATTCCACCTCACCCCTGTTAGAATAGCCATCATCAGCAACACCACAACAACAGGTGTTGGCGAGGATGCGGGGAAAAAGGAACCCTCTTACACTGTTGGTGGGAATGTAACTAGTACAACCACTCTGGAAAAAAATTTGGAGGCTACTTAAAAAGCTAGACATCGATCTACCATTTGATCCAGCAATACCACTCTTGGGATATACCCAAAAGACTGTGACACAGGTTACTCCAGAGGCACCTGCACATCCATGTTTATTGCGGCACTATTCACAATAGCCAAGTTATGGAAACAGCCAAGATGCCCCACCACTGACGAATGGATTAAGAAAATGTGGTATCTATACACAATGGAATTTTATGCAGCCATGAAGAAGAATGAAATGTTATCATTCGCTGGTAAATGGATGGAATTGGAGAACATCATTCTGAGTGAGGTTAGCCTGGCCCAAAAGACCAAAACTCGTATGTTCTCCCTCATATGTGGACATTAGATCAAGGGCAAACATAACAAGGGGATTGGACTATGAGCACATGATAAAAGCGAGAGCACACAAGGGAGGGGTGAGGATAGGTAAGACACCTAAAAAACTAGCTAGCATTTGTTGCCCTTAACGCAGAGAAACTAAAGCAGATACCTTAAAAGCAACTGAGGCCCATAGGAAAAGGGGAACAGGTACTAGAGAAAAGGTTAGTTCAAGAAGAATTAACCTAGAAGGTAACACACACGCACAGGAAATCAATGTGAGGTCAATGCCCTGTATAGCTATCCTTATCTCAACCAGCAAAAACCCTTGTTCCTTCCTATTATTGCTTATACTCTCTCTACAACAAAATTAGAAATAAGGGCAAAATAGTTTCTGCTGGGTATTGGGTGGGGGGAGGGAGGAGTGGGTGGTAAGGGAGGGGGTTGGGGCAGGGGGGAGAAATGAACCAAGCCTTGTATGCACATATGAATAATAAAAGAAAAATGAAGAAAAAAAAAAAGAACTGGTTTCTTAGTTTTGTTTGCTGTATATTGTTTTTGAATATTCTATAAACTTTATAAAAATAAAATTAAATCTGGTTGCCTGATTCTTGGTTATACAGTCGAACCAGCAAAGCCTTCAGCAACAAGCAGACTGTGAAACAGTGTGGATGCTCTGAAGTTTACCTGGACTGTTTACAGACATTCTTGCCAGCCCTCAGCTGCCCCTTACAAAAGGATATTCTCAGAAGTGGAGTTCGAACTTTTCTTCATCGAATGATTATTTGCCTAGAGGAAGAAGTTCTTCCATTCATCCCATCTGCCTCAGAACACATGCTCAAAGATTGTGAAGCAAAAGACCTCCAGGAGTTCATTCCTCTTATCAACCAGATTACGGCCAAATTTAAGGTAACACAAACCTTTAGAGCTCTGAGATTCTTCTGACTTAACCTCTTCGGATTTAAAAATTAGATGTATTTATCTTCACACATGTTTTAGATTTTTTTCTTTATTCTTAATGAGTTCCTTGAGAACATGGATCATAGGAATTCTTATCATCCCCAATGTCTATCACAGAATGACACATAGATCAGGCTTGCTAGATGTTTTAATAAAAACATCCTATCTGCTCACTGTATCAGAAGAAAACTACTAAGAAGAGCAAAAAAAAAACAGTATGGAGTCCTAAATGTCTAAAGAGGTAAGTAAGAAGCCATATAATTTAGGTACCCAAGCAAGAGTTTAAAAATAACTCAGTAGGCTAAAGTCAGTTTTTATGTACAAAGAAATGTAAGCCAGTTATAAATTAGCTAAGAGAAATGGCTAAAAGAATGATTTCTAAGTTCAAAATCTGTTCTAAATATTTTTGCACATTTCCTCTTTTGGTCCTCATAATGACCATGGGAGGTAGGAATTATATCTTACTGGTGAGGAAACAGACACAGGGAGATTAAGGAATTTGTCCGAGGGCATAGCTGAAAGTTCAAGTCATATATGTTAATTTATAACATTCCTTAGGAATTTAAGAGTTTGACACTATTCCATGGCAGTCTCTGATTATGACAATTTATTATTTTAGCCCGAATCTTAAAACTGTTGAAAGTAGGTTGAACTTTAGAATCCTGAGGTTCTTTCAGCAATGTATATATTACAAAGTTTTGTCCTTGATATTTACCAGCTAAATTATATAAATGGATATGGTGCTGAAGAAAGGCAATATGTAAATTTTATTTCTGTAAGTTCTGTATTAATTTTCTCCCTTATTTCTAAGGTAGTAATAGTTGTTTCTTATTTTCAGATACAGGTATCCCCATTTTTACAACAGATGTTCATGCCCCTGCTTCATGCAATTTTCAAAGTGCTGCTTCGACCAGCAGAGGAGAATGACCAGTCAGCTGCACTAGAGAAGCAAATGTTACGGAGGAGTTACTTTGCCTTCCTGCAAACAGTCACTGGCAGCGGAATGAGCGAGGTTATAGCAAATCAAGGTGGGGATGTGTGCCATGCCTGATGTGTCTGCTTAAGTCCTTGGCCCAGTTGTACATCCTTATGAGCAAGGGTGAAGTAAACATGAGACATTTGAAATAGTTGTATGTTGGCCTCTAAAAAGACTGTTCATTACTTTTAGGTTAGAAATCAATAACTTTCATGTAGCACCCCTTAAAATTAAGTTCTCCTTTCATTGCTTCTTTAGTAATAGTATATTACCATGTGCCAGAACTAACCTAAAAATTGAATTTTGCTGACCAGTTTGCCATCTTAAAATTAAAAATAGATAGGACTATACAGACCAACATAGAAAATCTATTATAGAAGAAATCCAGGAAGGTAAGAAGATATAAAGGAATGCTAAGTTTTGAATGTTTAAAATTTAGGTGACCAGCTTATAAAAATCAAAGGGTCTTACCAACTTTGTAAATGCTTTTTGATTTGTTACTGTATATGAAATGAGAGTTTCAGATTGTCTTTCTTTCTAGTTTTTTTTTAAATTATACTTAAGTTTTTCTCTTCAGGTGCAGAGAATGTAGAACAAGTTCTGGTTACCATTATCCAAGGAGCAGTTGACTATCCAGATCCAATTGCACAGAAAACATGTTTTATCATCCTTTCAAAGCTGGTAGAACTCTGGGGTAATAATTTTTTTTGTTTTTGAGATTTTTTCATCTGGTTCTGGGAATCAAACCCATGGCCTCACATGTCCTAATCAAACACACTGCCACTAAGTTATATGCCTCCCCCTTCCACAATTTTATATAGGTATTTAACCTTCATTCCCTGGCCTGTTTCATAATACTTTTAGAGATGAAGTGGAACCCTAACCCAAACATAGGCAGGAACTGGCAGTTTTTCCCCTGGTGTTGAACTTACTGACTTTCTTTTAATACAAGATGACAATTTGAATTCTTTTGGCAGGAGGTAAAGATGGACCAGTGGGATTTGCTGATTTTGTTTATAAGCACATTGTCCCTGCATGTTTCCTAGCACCTTTAAAACAAACCTTTGACCTGGCAGATGCACAAACAGTATTGGTAAGCACCTAGAAATCTTTACCTTGTATAGCTCTAATACACTCATAATTTCTTTAATAACTGGTAATGTTTCATTGATTTTTTTTTTTTTTGGTTGAATGGTTTAAAATTATGGTTTATTATATCTTAATTATTTTTGTGGTGATGGGGATCAAATCAGGGACCTTGAACATGATAGGTGAGTGTTCTATCACTAAGCTACAGCCCCAACCCATCCTGTTACTTTAATTAATGGTTTTCCCTACTGTTAGGAGCACTAAATAGTAGCTCTCTTCAGATGATAACTTCCCAGAATTTCATCTGCAGAATACTTTATGTTAAATAAGGACCCTTTTCTGTCTTCTCCACAATCTAATACAAGCCATATTTCATAGTTGTAGTTTGCTACATTAAGACAGCAGGTTGGTTTTTTGGGTTTTTTTTTTTCCTCCTTTTTCTATCCAACCCACTCACCCCACCTGCCTACTCCCATTCCTTCCTCTGTCCTTTCTCTGCAGGTAAATAGGTCCCTGGAAATACTTAGGTACATGTTTTCCTAGCAGTAGCCAGGGAAATAAAAGTTGGGCTAGCAACCAAGAAATAACTACATTAAAATTCATAAATTTGTTTTTCATAGGCTCTTTCTGAGTGTGCTGTGACACTGAAAACAATTCATCTCAAACGGGTAAGGTTTGTGATGTAGTATTCGTTATTATGCTTTTATGTTTGACTTGTGTTCTTGAAAACCGTGACTTTTGGGCCAAGCATAGTAGTGCCCGTCTGTAATCCCAGCTATTTGGAAAGTATAAGTAGGTGGATTGTGGTCAAGGCCAGCCCAGGGCAAACCTGTGAGACTATATGAACAATAACTAAGGCAAGAAAGGGCTGCAGGCATGGCTTAAGAGCACCTGCCTAGTAAGCACGAGGCCCTGAGCTCAAACCCCAATACCACAAAAGAAGAAAGAGAAGAGAAAGAAAGCTGTGTCTTTTATAAAAAGATGAGTGGTTCCTCTCACCCTGAAGAGGGTGAGTGTTCTGGCTTGCCAGTCTTCTTTCAGTACCTGCTCTTACTTGAGCTTAAGTATTTTATTCTGATATGGATTTGAAGAGTTTCCAATTCAACATTTTACTACACTTGCTGTGTGCTAGGGTAAAGAGTATGTGTGTTCTAGGGTACCAAAAACATAAATAAATACCCTTAGTTTTGTGGAGCTCAGAATCAAGGGAGACCAGTGCATAAATAGCTCTCAACTTTAGTGAAAATGTATGAAATAACTGTAGGACCCAAGGTAAATGAGCAGTTTTTGTTTAAGGAGCAATCTAAGCAAGCCATAAGAAAAAAGTTACTTTTTTTTTTTTGATAGGTCTTAAGACAAATATACATTGATTGGTTGGGCTGACAAGCGGGGCGCTGGTACTCTGGGCAGAATTAGGTGGATGTGTGACAGATCAGATGTTCCACAGTGAATTTCTTGGGAAATTACAGTTATTTGGTTAGCTAACGTATGGAGGCAGAAGTAATAGCTAAAACATAATGGGAACAGATAGTTAAAAGCTTGTGTTTAAGTCAGGCATGGTGATGCCGGTAATCCCAGCACTGTAGAAGGCAGAGGTGGGAGGATCAAAAGATCAAGTGCAGCCTTGGCTACAGAGCAATCTCAAAAATTAAAAAAAAGTTTTGAAAAAAAGCCTTCTGTTAAATGTGAAAATTTGGGCAGTCAGTAGGCAGGAGGAATGTAATTTAGGATAACTAAGTAGGATAAAAATGTTCATACAAACCAAATGTTCATATGGGTGTGAAGCAGTTACAACTGATTTTAGAGTCTGGTTAAATGGTCTGAATGAATGAGAATTTCTCAGATCAGGAAAGAAAGAACCTTGACTAAAGCAGTAGTCAAGAGAACCTAGAAGTAGAACCAAGGGTTAGGTATATTATCAGATTAATAAAGGTATGTTTAGGATGAAGGGTCTTGAGAGAGGACACTGGTGACAGTGTTGGATGCTGGAGAGTTAAGGAAAATGAGGAATGAAGAGAAGCAGTAAGAATGGTATTTTTATTTCAACATATTTGTCTTGTCCAGAGAAGCCTTAATTTAAACACAGAATTGAGTCAAGCGATTGTTTTTTAAAATGTGTCTTTCTCTATTTATTCATTATTTTGATTGATTTGGATACATTTACTTTTCTAGATTAAAAAAAGCCTACACTCTTTAAGCGAGAGGGTAGACTAAAGGAAAAGGTGGGATGGGATCTGAGAAGCTTTCAGGAACAATGCAGTGTAGTGTTACCTCCCTCCAATTAAGAACAGATTTCTTTTGAAGTGTCATTAAATTAAGACATAGACTCATTTGGGTAGAGGGCCAGGAGTCAAGGTAGAAAGGACACAAATCCTTTGGTTCAGGAGCAGTAATATTAAATAGGAAATCCATTAATGCAAGAAAGATTGCATTGAAGAGAGATGGATTGATTTCATTTGATAACTGCTACTTTCAGGTTGGGGACATCAGCATACTAAAGCCTTTAAAAGTTAGGTTCAAGGGCTTGCCCTGGCTCAAGTTCTAGAGCACCTGCTTTAGCAAGAGCAAGACCCTGAGTTCAAACCCCAGTGCCACATACACACATGCACATTTGTGTGAGCACATACACATGTTAGATTCATGTTTGAACATGCAACTAACTAGTATTTTCTGTTTGGTTTTGTTTAGAGCAATTGATTTGTTAAATTTTCTCACAGTAAAATTTGTTAAATTTTGAAGGGAAGCTATTTTCAAATTGTATCCTAGGTTCCTTTGTAGCTACTGGGAAGGAGTAGGGATTAGGGGTTTCTCTTCCACTGAGCTTATCTGCTCCCTTGGACCCCCCCCCAAAAAAAAAAAAAAAAAGAAAAACTATTTTTATAGATTTTAGCATATAGAAGTTTTAGAAGATGATCTCTGTTGAAGAGCATTGGCTTCAGAATTCCAGCACTTTTTAGTAAAGTTTTAATCAGTCACTGTCTAGGCAGTTCCCCTTCTTTTCCTCTTGGTTTCTTCATCTGTTCCAGCTGGCTACTAAATGCCTGTTCCCTAGTTTGTTGAATAGGAAAAGGAAGCTTGTGCTTTTATTGCTATGACTTTCTATTTTGTTTTGTTCTTTTTTGCTTGTACTTTAGTCTGTAAAAATGGTCATTACCCTGAAAGCTCAGAGGCTTCCTTCCATGCACCCACACTCTATAATTCATCTACCCAATGGTAGATTGACAGGAGCACTGTTCTTTGATGTTTCCTTTCAAAGTGTAGATAGTTCTGCCATTGTGACCTGGATTTGGAAGTAATCTTTAACAGTACTTAGCACTAGTAATGTTAATACATAGTGAATGCTAAGTGGTATTCTAAGAACTTTGTCTTTCTTAATTCAAGTCCTCACAATAACTTTTTTTGGGTGGTGTGCTGGAGAACATGCCAGGCAGCTTCTTCTTCACTGAGTTATGTCCTCAGCCCCTAGTAACCTTTTTTTTTTTAGATAAAGAAACTGAGGACTGGAGGTAGGACTCAAGTGGTAGAGTGCCTGCTTTGCAAGTACAAAGCTGAGTTCAAACCTCAGTCCCACTGATAAAAGAGATAGAGAAACTGAAGTTTAATGAGATTGAGATAGCTTTCCCAGAGCCAGGCTTCAAATTAAGGCACTCTGGTTCTAAAGTCTGTGTTCTTAATTACAATACTGTGTTGCTCTTAAAGTATAATTTCTTCTTAAGCATTATTGATGTCCAGAAAGAAAATAAGTATAGTTATAATTATCTTTTAATCTTTAGGGTCCAGAATGTGTTCAGTATCTTCAACAAGAATACCTGCCCTCATTGCAAGTAGCTCCAGAAATAATTCAGGTGAGAACTGTTCTAGCATTTATTTTTTAAAAATGAGTATGTATGTCAATCTAAATTTTAATTCAAGAAAAACAGGACTGAGTGTAGTGGTACATGCCTGTAATCCCAGTTACTAAGGAGGCAGAGGTCTGGAGGATGGCAGTTCAGGGCCAGCCTGCGCAAAATGTTAGACTCCATCTCAACCAACAAGCCAGGTTTGGTAGTATGAGCCTATAATCCCAGCTACTGAGAGGCATGTAGGAGAATCACAGTCCAGGCCAGGCCCTGAACAAAATGTAAGGTTCTATCCAAAAAATAACTAAAGCAAATAGTGTTGGGTGTGTGGCTCAAGTGATAGAGCACCTGCCTAGCAAGTGTCAGGCCCTGAGTTCAAACCCCAGTGCCACCAATAAATAAATAAAAGAAAGCCAGATTGCATTCACCTTGATGTTTTGGTAAGTATAGGATAGCAAGAATACTTATGTAGCCTAGAATCCAGATTTCAGGGGATCTATAAAATTGAATGGGAAAAATAATTGTTTATATTTTTACTAACATAACAGAAATTTAATTTCCTTCTATTGTGCAGATGACAGACCTCAGTAGTGGTAACATTGCCTGTAACTTTGTCCAGTAGAAATCACAGATATTTTCACATCACATAAGTTGTTGCAGATGTCTCAAAATACTGCTCATGATGCCACTGTTTTGAAATTATGAGTTACTACTTAATGTCACTACATCTTGTTATATAGCATTATCATTGTTTACTTTTTTAATCTTACGGAGTTATATTTTATATATTTCTAAAAACATTCTAAAAGGAATCTAATAGGCTTTCCCAGGCTGCCAAAGGGGACTATAGCATGTGAAGGATGTGTTCTGACTGGGGTGCAGCTTAGTGGTAGAGCACTTGCCTAGCATGCACAAGACCTTGGGTTGGATCCCTAGCACTGGCAAAAAAATAAAATAAAGAAAAATCCTCTTGCCATGCTTATCAATGCTTAATTTGTAAATCTGAAACTATATTTTGAGGTAAGTGGCTGGAAAGTTACCTTGTACTTTTGGATTGTTACAAAGTACAGTAGTTACTTTCTTAGCAAACAGTTTTTCAGATTTCTTGTCCCCAACTGTCAATTACAAGTAGAATTAGAATCTTGCCTATATTCTAAGAGTTGTTTCTTCAACAGTATTTTGGGTTTTTTGTCTTTTTTTTTTTTTTATGTCATTTTATTGTGGTAAGAAGACTTAACATTTTTAAGTATACAGTATTGTTAATTCTAGGGACAATGTTGTATCTGTGCAGCTTTAGATGGACTTAAAATGCATTCATCTTACATAATTGAGACTTTATGCCCATAAGCAAAGCCCCTTTCCTGCTTCCCAGCCCTTAGTAATCACCATTCTGTATAATTCTTGACATGTGACTATTTTACATACCTCATATTAGTGGAATCATGGAGTATTTGTCTTTTTGTGCATGGCTGTTTAACTTAACATGATGTCTATAGAGTTCATCCATGTTTGTGATAATGGCAGGATTTTTTTTATAAGGTTGAATAATATTTCATTGTATGTGTATACCACATTCTTTTTCCATATCAGTGTCCCAACATACAGCAGTAGCCTTGGGCCTTAGTCTTGTCCTCTGGCTTCAGAGTTGCTTTATAATTTACCGGGTAATAGAACTAGTTCTGGTTGGGGCACCTGCCCTTCTACTTCACAAATGCTTCCCCCCAGGAAATACTCTTAAGGCCAAAGTGGGCTGGGTGAGAGTTGCTTTTGCTCATGCTTCTATTTGTGTAAGGTTTTTTGTTTTGTTTTCTTTTTGTTTGTTTGTTTTGGGATTTTTTGGCAGTACGGTGGTTTGAACTCATCTCATGCTCCTGTTTGTGAAGGGTTTCTCATTGCCCCCCTGATTTCTTTTTGATGGGCTGTGATCTTCTTACTGCTCTTGGTCTTTACATCCACCAGGTCCTGATTTCCATAATCTAAACAGAATCACACATAGGTAATGGTATCATGTTCCTAAATGCACCCCAGGGCTTTTTCCTGTTGGATCTGAGGTGTGCTGAAATATACAAATTTTTTTGTGCCTACACACAGCTCTCCATGCAAGTTATAATTCACCATCAAGTTCCTGCCATAACTGACCCTGCCTAGGTACTGAAGATAGGGAAATGCCACTTCATGGGCACAGTGGCAGCTGAGTACGAAGAACAGAAGAGAGAGCACCAAATGATAATACCTGGCAGACTTAACCACTTCTCCTTAGTACCATTTCCACTTTTGGATCACTGTGGATAATATGACATTTTAACACAGGATGTCTTTTAGCCGTGTTGTTTTTAAAGGTTTTAGAACTGGGTGTGTGACTCTGTTACAGTGCTTGCCTGGCATGTGTAAGGATCTGGGTTCTATATGACATTGAGGGGGGAAAGGGTATGCAAAAAAAAAGTTTTTTAATTCTTTTTTTTTTTTCCCAGTAGTGGAGCTTGAACTCAGTGCCTCATGCTTACTAGGCAGGCATTTTACCACTTGAGCCACTCTGCCAGTCCTTAATTCTGTTTTTTTAAGAGGCACTGAAAATTAAGAAATATAGTAGTTAAATAAACTAGTATTTTCGTGAAAACAATAAGTTATTAATTATCCATGTGAACTTTGTGCTCATAAGAAAATACAAATTTACCATTACTTCCCTTCCAGATTGCTAAGTGAAGCAAGGTTTTGGTTGTTCTTTTTTTTTTTTTGGTTTTTTGGTGGTACTGAGGTTTGGACTTAGTCTTGCACCTAATAGTCAGCACTCTACCACTTGAGCCATGACCCCCAGATCTTCTTGCTTTAGTTATTTTTTGGCTAGGTCTCATGTTTTTGGCCCTGGCTAGCCCAAACCAAAATCCTACCTGGGATTGAGCCATAGTACCTGGCTATACTTCCATATTTTTAATCTCATAATTTTATTCTTAAAGATAATATAAAGAACTTAGGTTTTTTCTTTTTTCATGTGCTTTATAACAACACTTTTTGCAGAATTCTGCTTAAGAAAATTATGAATGTCTTTTGGTGTAGCTCTGCTCAGTGACCTCTCCTACTAGAAAACAGCCACAGCAATGTAGTTTCACATTCATTCTTTTTAGGCATGAGTTTACCTTGTCTTGACGAGGCATGTTCTCAAAAGTGAAAGCAGCTTGTCTGATAAGGTTATTTTTGAAAATGCCATATAACCTTTTCTCGTGAGAACCTGTTTGGGTTAATTTTGATAAGCTGTGACAAGCAGACTGGATTTGATGCAATCTTAATGTCCATTGATGGTGGTAGGTAGAGAAAAATGTGTATACATGCAGCCATAAGGTATTCAGCACTAAATAAAAGAAGGAAATCCTCTCATATACTACAGCACAGGTGACCCTTGGGGACTTACACTAAGTTAAGTAACCCAGGCACAAAAAGACAAATACTACATGATTCCACTTACATGCAGTATCTAAAGTGGTCAGGCTCACTGAAGCAGAAGGTGGGTGGTGGTTGTCTGGGACTGCGGAGGATGAAATAGGGACTTGTTCTTGCATAGCATTGTTTCAGTTCTACAAAATGAAAAAGGTTTTGAGCTGCCCTGAGTGTAGTCAACACTCCTATGCTATGTATGTACAAGTGGCTAAGATGGTGAGTTTTGTTTTTCATCACAATTTTAAAGAAGAATAGTTTGGGTTTCAGTTCAAATGTTTAATGCAAACAGTGATTCTCCTCTTTCTCTCCTTCCTTCCTCATGCCCTTCTTCCAGGAGTTTTGTCAAGCACTTCAGCAGCCTGATGCTAAAGTTTTTAAAAATTATTTAAAGGTAGGTATTTGGGAAACCTTCTGTATCTTGTACAATTAGGTAACATTTGAAAGCCCAGAGAGAATACATATGTGCTGTAGCTTGACTATCATTTACTTTGGGTTCTCTTTGATCCAAAAGGCTCCTTCTAAGTAATCTGAAGTTTCTGTGAAAGTCCTTTCAACTAAATTCTTGCAAAAGATCAAAGTTACATATTTGTACTAAATGTGCACACACCCTGAGTATGTTGGGATAAAATGCCAGTTTTCCTTTTACAGTTTCATGATGTAATTCAGTGGAACTAGGGTATTGGGAAAACAAGAAATGTTCAAGAACAGTTACCCATATTAAGTTGAAAGGAAGGATCTAAAATTAAAAAAACAGAAGCATGAGTTATTTGCTTATATCCTAGTTTGAAACATTTGAATTGTATAACAGACAAAAGGAGAATCATCAGATTTGGCCATCAAGGCTGTTTTCATATTCAAAAAATCACTGATTTAAAAAAGAGAAAAACAAGCTGGATGTGGTGGCTCAAGCCTATAATCCTAGCTTACTCCAGAAGCTGAGAATGGGAGGATTGCAGCTTGAGACCAGCCTGGGCAAAAAGTTTATGAGACCCCTTCTCAACCAGTATTTGGGTGCAAGTGTCATCCCAGCAACGGCAGCAAAATAGAAGCATTGTGATCCAGCCTGGCCCCTATCTCAAAAATAACCAGAGCAAAAAGGGCTGGAGGCATAGGTCAAGCATAGAGCACCTGTGTAGCAAGGATAAAGCCCTGAATTCATACCTCAGTACTGCCAGAAGAAAACAAGTGAGGTGTGGTGGACATGCCTCTTACTGCAGCACATGGAGGACCAAAGCAGGAGGATTTTGAGTGCAGGCCAGCCTGAGCTAAGTGACAAAACCCTGTCTTGAGGGAAGGAAGAGGGAGGGAAGGGAAACCCTATGTTTGTTTGGTATTCATAGTCACAATTAAATTCATTAAATAAAGCTATTGTTCTCACCTACATCAGTCATCTCACACTTCCTGACTGCCTTGTACGTACCAAGCTTAGAAAACTGCTACTGACACCAATAGGAGTGGTTTTTCCCTGACCAGAGAGCTCATGGTCTAGAAATAAAGTTGCAATATGACAAGATGCAGAACTGTTTATTTTTATTTATTACCTTCATTCAGCAAGTTGGAGAGCATAGCCCTATACTGAATTTCTTAGTGGCAAGTAACAAGTGAATGGCTACCTGTTTCTTGCCTAAGACATTTGTTAAAATTTATAGGTAAAAAGGATTTGCTGAGTAAATAATAAAATGTGCCATCTTTTGTTGTGGTCTATTTTCCCTGTCAGTTATTATAGTTTATCTGCTTAAATCTCTCAAAGAGTTTGTGTGGCAGAATGTTAAGAATTCTTTTTATTATTGGGGGGAAAAAATATAAAAGCAAAGTACTTTCTGTTCAATAACTCTCCAAACTTGATTAAAGGACTCGATAGAATCTACAATTGATGGGTAACAGTAAACCTAGGCATATTATAGAAGGCTTGTGCCCCAGATTATATGCTTATTTGCATAGTATTTATAAAGTCTTCCTCCCAAGCCCAGCTTTCATTGAAAGCAGTATGTTATTTTAGTTAAAGAACAAAAAGTTCATTCTGCCTGCTTCTTTTATGAATTCTGCCGATTCTTCTAGGCTTACCTTAAGCATGGTCTCTTTGTAAGGCTTTCTTTTGCTCATACAGTGACCATTCTTTTCTCTGCCCTTTTTGTTTATTGTTCATTTTTGTTGTTTTTTAGTTTTAGTTTTTTGAGACAGGTTCTCTCTTGTAACACAGGTTGGCCTAGAACTTGTGATCCTCCTGCTTCAGCCTCCCCAGTGCTGGAATTACAGCATACACCATCACAACCCTGCTTTTCTCTGTACTCTGTTCTTTGTTATATGAATATCAAATCTCCTAAGTGCTAGGGATGGAAATAGAGTCCTTGTCTTCAGCGAGCTCACCACCTAAGCTATCATTTACTATTTCTAGCACGTATATCACTGCATCACTGTGGATGGTAGTGTGTAATACTGGCCAATGCCTTACACAGCCTCTTGCCTATTCCTTTATAGTCTCCAGTGTTGAAGTAGAAGTACCTTTTAACCACCAAATCACATTAAATTCCTTAGGGATTCAAGTTCTTATCTTTAGCTTCTACTATTTCTTCCCCAAAATTTAATTTCCCAATGTTAATTTTGAGAGTAGTGCCAGTCATAAAAAGGTGCTAAGAACACCTGACCCCTTGAGTCTTACAGAGTTAGAGGTAATACCAGGTTTTCATGACTTTCCCAATTGAGTAATGTCAGCCAATTTATGTAACAGAAGAGTGACTACCAATTTAGAAACCTGGAGCCATTCTTTATGTGAAAGAGGTTATATTTTCTGACGTTTGTATTAATTGCATTAATTCTTTATTTACAGGTGTTCTTCCAGAGAGCAAAGCCCTAAGGACTGGATTTCCCCGTGCCTACTTCATGATCAGGAATTCCAGTTAATTTATAAAGAAACAATTTTTGTGTGCCATTCACACTGGTCTTTTTAACATTGTTTTGAGCTTATTTCAGTATATGTATTGAGAGTTTTCTGTAAAATAGGTGTCGTTTTCCCTAAATGTTGGTATGTGACAACAAAAGTTGCTTGCATGCCTGCTCATATATAAAAATGCTGTTGAAATACAGCATAGTTATCCTAATGCTTTTTTTCCTTCATTTGAAACTTTAACTCAAGTCCTTTATAAAGACCATAGCAGTGGAAAATTGTACTTTTTTTAATTGTTGAATATAAAATTTGAAAAATTTTAGTTTTATGTGTGCAGACACATAAAGTATGGGGAAAATACAACAATCAGAACTAATTTTTTGTAGATAGCCATTAATTTCTTTAAACTGTGTCAATGCCAATGTGTATTCCACAAAACAATGGGTTCATAAATTAATTGATTTAAAAGTAGGTGCCGGTATTATAAATTTTTTTTATAAAAAAATAAATTTTAAGTAGTGAAATTTTCCAAGTCTTTTCTGGAATTATTACAAATACTTTAGCCTCACTTTCCCATCTTTTTGCAAATATGAGTGTGAATGCCTTATTTCACTTAACTATGCTCCTAAAAGGGTACATGAACTTAGTTTTGTTAAGTCTTTTTTTAATGCACTAGAGTCTTTTGAATTAAAAATCACAATGTTTTCTCTGTTATTGAGTATAGAGTACAATGTACCTATGTGTTTGTGGTGTTTATAAATAGTCAGCTGCTATTTAATTACTCTTAAGTACTTCCCCCTGCCATCTCTCATTTTTACCGGTGGCTGCTGGAGAAAGCAAGAGGAAATGTAATGGTAGTAGCATTGGAAGAAAGGAGGGACAAAACTGAAGAGCAAAATGACTAGAGACATTTAAGCTTAAATTTTAAAAGCCCAAATTAAGATTTTTCAGGGAGGGAAGTTGGTGTAGCTTAGTGGTAGAGCTCTTGCTTGAGGACCTGGGCTTGATCCCTGGCACCACAAAAAGAAAAGGAGAAAAAAAAAAAGATGATCAGGGAGGGTTTGTTTTTTACATTTGACCAATGTGTTGCCTAGCAGTTTTGTGGATGAGCTTCAGTGGTCTGTTAGTTTCCTAAAATTTTATTCTAAATTCTACACATGAATCTTTTTATGGGTTTATTCCAGAAGAGGTTTTAAATACTGTCTTTACATCATAGAATAAAAATACTAAATTTACAGTTAACTACAAAAATAGATCAGTAGAATGTATATTACTACTTAAATAAAAATGGTTTTAAAATAGCTAAGTGAACGCTGTGTGTCAGGTTCCCTTGTACTTGGGAGAGATAATTACGTCTGTTGCAGTAGTAGTGATGTTCAGAGTACCAATGTATATAGCATAACGTAGTAGCCAAGAGCTTATATAACACAGGCTCCAGGTCCAAATTAAATAGGCTCTAACACCAGCTCTGCCAGTAACTGGTTAAATTACTTCTTCCTGCCTTACTTTCCCTATCTCAAAAATGGGGGAAATAATGGTAGCTACCTCATAACTCATTAAGAATTCAATGAGTTAAACATGAAAAGCGCTTATTACTGTAGCTGGCATGTAGGCCTTGATATTAGCTTGTATTACTCTACTATTAATTCCATGCATATGAAGTAAAACGTTTTAAAGCCCTTCAGTAGATTAACATGTTTAGAGTTGAAATATCTGGACATGGAAATCGGAGTGTGTAAATAGAAATTAATGTTATATAATCATGTATAATAATTCTCATCTTTATCCCTTGAAGTTGCCCCAAGCACCATCACAGGAAACTGTTCTATCATTACTTCCCTTATTTCCAAAAGCAAGCACCCAAATAATTGTCACCAGGGTGAATCTCATTTGTTACAGGTGAGGTAACTGAGGCAAAAGACTTGAGATTTAGGTGACTTGACTATGGAACCACAGGGTTTTAAGGTACCTGATTTAGTCCTGTACCTAACAGTTTATTTGAATCTTAATGCTAGTGTTAATTGGTTTACAAGTGGTTTGACCTTTTTTTAAGAAAGTACTGTGTGGTATTTTAACTGCATCACTTATGTGGTCCTCTGGCTCACTAACATTTCCTTTCACAACTTGGAGCTGTGGGTTTTACTGTTGGAAGAAACTCTGACAGGTCTTCACTCTTGTTACTCCATATCATAACTGAAATCTGTTGAAATTGTAAGCAATGAATAGATTTGCTGTTAGAGTGATTTCATCAGATAAACGTTTAAATTCTAATAAAAATAACTTTCTTTGTAAAAACTCACTGGAGTGAGATTTTTTTTTTTAAATCTCCATTGGCATTTGATAAAAACCGAGGCCCAGAGAGATAAGAAACTTGCGTAAAGACAGTAAGGGGCAGAGCTGGGACTGCAAGCCCAGGTCTGTTCCGGGCAAACAAAGCATCTGCTCTTAACCACTCTGCCATGGTTCCCCATTCTTTGGTGTTAGCCGCAGCAGTGCTCAGGGAAGCTTCCTCTTCCTCTCCACAGACCAGCAAATCTGTGCCCTCCTTACTTAGACAAAGGCTTTGGTGCTGTCGTCCTTTATAGGAAATAGTGCTTTAAGCAGGACCAGATTTTAGTTAGTGCTGGTTTTAGTTCTTAAATTCTTAAGGTTGGTACTTAGGTTCTCCAATATCGCCATTTTCCAAACTACAGGGTGAAAGAGGGTGTTAATCAACACACGAATTCCACTTCTGGATACTGTGAGATGATAACCTGGCAGCCCAGTGCCCCGTGATCGCCCGCTCGGGCGTGCTGCACTGCCTACCTGGGGTCATGCGAGTGTTTGCCCACCCCAGTTGCCCACTGTCGCTGCGCTGGGCCTCGGAGACCCGGCATCTGAACGCTTCCTTCCCCGCGCAGGTAGAGCGTTCCAACCTCATCCTGAGCCAGCGTCCTTCGCCTGGCGTTTTCCGACCATTGCCACAGCGCAGCCCAGACGGGCAGGCAGGCGTGCGCACGCGCGCCGCGCGCCGGCCGTCGGTCACGTGGCCCCGGCCGGGGATCGCGAAGCCGGAAGTGGCCCGGGGCGCTGGAAGGCCGCGGGAGCCCGCTGGCGGTGGCGCGGCGGAGACCTGCTGGTAAGCGGGGCGGGGGCGGGCGCGGGCGGAGGGGCCGAGGCCGCGCGGGGGCCGGAGGCGCGGACTGAGGAGCCGGGCGCCCCCGCGCCGAGGGAGGGAGGCTGGGTGCTGAGTCAGAGCAGGGACGGCGGGCGACCCGAGGCCGAGGGCTCCCGGACTGCGGGCGGGCGGGCGGGCGGCCTCTCCAGACCCCCGCGGCCGTCCTGCCCGTGCGGTTCCGGGCTCCGGCACTGGTGCCTCTTCCCAGGGAAGGCGCACTACCCACTTCCCACCCCTTTCGAGTGATGGCAGCATTGGGGTTTTTAAATGGACCGACTAGAAAGACGTCCCCCTAGGGTCTCGGCGTCGATCTTGAACAGCAAAGGTTGACTCACCGGAAGCCAGAAGGACAAGACGTCGTTAATGTACTCACCCACAAAATGCAAATTCCCAGTTGTTTCCTGGCTCTTCCTCGACCTGGCTTCTGGGTTTAACTTCTAATCAGTTTCTTAGGCATTTGTAGTAGTTAGCCTCAAAACTGAGGGGTAGTTGTTACTCCCCAGGAATTGTCAAATGTCTAACCCCAGACCGACCTTTTTTCACTCTGGAATTGGTAATACAGTATCTGTCGAATAAATTGATTCACGTAGTGGTCGTTCGGAAATCCTGGAACTTTGTCCATAGTCTTTGTCACCAACCGTTTTCATCCATGGTAACTTTTGTTTTGAACGGTAGAACGAAGTGGACTTAGCATAGCATCATCACTAATGTACTTGTTGAGTGCCTGCTGTACTCTGAAATTTGGGGAGATTTATATAGCAAGCACCTGGTGGGTGTGCTGAGTCATGTTTTAGCATACTCTTTATGGTGGGCTTCTTGGAAGATATTTTCATATTTCCCATGATTGCTATTGTGGAACCATATTTTTATATCAGCATACAGGGAGAGCAGATATCTTAGCTGATAAGTGTGTTTTATATTATTCACTGGATTCATAGAAGTACTTAATGATATGATATGCCATTTGCAGTTATCTGAAACTTTAGGGAAGGTTTTTCATTAGTTATTTGAGTTTACTACCTCTTGAGTGGAATGTAGTAACTAGCAAATGTGCATTCCTTATTTGTGAAAAGGGAATTTTATATCTATTGCTTATTTCTAATAAACTGTGATGTACATAAAATTCCTTGTCCAAATTAGATGAGTGCTAAAGTTGTATAAATATATGCTAGTGTACTACCAAGAATGTTGAAATTTAGATCTTTGGCTATTCTGCATGTTGCTAACACTACTGGGAATATTGACAATCATTAATTGATCATGGAATACCCAGTTTTTTGTTTTTACTGTGAAGGAGTATTAAGACTATGTCTTGACCTGACATTGCAGCAGGCTTAAAAGGGAGCATGCTGGGTTTAGTGTTTATGCCATGTGAGCACACCTCATTTTAATTTTACCATGGAACTCAAATATTTTCACTTTCTTTATAGTTCCATAACTTTTCATTATTAGAAGGCAAGTCTAGAAGTGATGCTTAATTTTTAAGACTTGGTAATATATACTTTGTATGTATATATTTATATACTTGGAGGTTAGGAAAACTATCCTTAAATTACTTCAGAAGAGTTCCTAATTTTTCAGAAATAACTGTTGTACCTTTCCATCATGATTGTCAGTCTGTGTAGATGGAGTTTTAGATTAAGGAATTGTTATGTAGTAACAACAGTTGTTTATAGTAGTGTTGCCCTGCCCTTGAAGGAGACAAAGTAATTTTTTTCTGTATTTTACATTACTTTTCTTTAAACTTTTTAAAATATAAAGTATCTCTAAGCACTTGTGATGCTGAGGCAGGCCAGCCTGAGCTACATAGTGAAACTCTTGTCTAAAAAAAAAAAGTTATTAATCTTCTAAAACATTTGAAGGAGGTAGGTACTCAATGTCATTCTCACTGACAGACAAAAGTAGAAGGAAAATAGATGTTTCTTTCGCCCTGTGATGTAAATTAAATTGAATTTATAAGATGTCACTGGCCTAATGGGTTTTTTTCCCTGTGCCCACACAGCATTTTAGCCTTTAATATTGCTGAAAAGTTAGATTTTTTTTTTACACTGGACTGTTTATGTACTTCATCTTAGCAATAAATAATGGATATTCCTACTTGAGATTAAAAATAGCTAAAATTTGTTTCTTAACTATATTATTCTCTTACAACATACATGCACATCTTTTCTTTTCTCTTAGTATAACAAGAGACTCGCCTGACTGAGCAGAGATGCAGAGCACTTCTAATCATCTGTGGCTTTTATCTGATATCTTGGGTCAGGGAGCTACTGCAAATGTCTTTCGTGGAAGACATAAGGTAAGTACAGTAAAGATATTGAAGCCTTTTTAATCAGTGTATATAGTCTTTTTCTGGGATGCACATTT